TCCGCGACGTGATGCAACACATGCTGCAGATCAAGTACATGTTGCGGTCTGGCATGGCGCTGGAAGAGCACGTGCAGCAGCAGACCCCGAGACCGGCCCATGCACACCCACAACATGCTAAGCGAGCACGTGCCAACTAAACAAACTTTCAAACCACTTAGAGTCCTTCAAGAAAGCAAATGCAATGCATCTGCAGTTCCTTTGGTATTGTGGATATCTGGGTGTCTAATATATCGGTGTTCCCGCTTATTGCCCCCGGATCTAAAAACTAACATACCAAAAGCATACAAACATAAATAAGGGAAAAGTTTAATCTAGAAATCCCTCAGAACTTGTTTAAGAAACAGTTAAACAATGCTATCATATCTTGATTGCTATCTCCAAGTCTGATAGGTGACTAGCAAATTTGAACTTAGTTAAATACCAATGTGGTTAATGAATTGTTAGATAATTCGATTCAGCTATGGAATATCAAGAGTTTGGTTGTTTGAAGATTTTTTTGTGTTTCTGAAAAATCCTGTAAGCAGCCTTTCTATTGAACAGGAAAGAAAATTTGCAACATAAAAGTGTAATCCGATTAATTTTTAAGTACCAGTGAGTTTAAGACAATGAAGTGGCTTGGATAGAAACATTGATGTGCGTCTCAAATGTACTCCATCAGTGCATAAACTTTTTATAGTTGTAATAAATGTGAAAGTGTTAATATGAACTATAGGTCGTGTTTTAAGACATTTTAGAGTATTTAGTAATACTAGCGTTTATCAACGCTGTAAATATAGATTATGTTCTATTGTTATGTCAATTTATTTCCATATTTGTACAAATTGTATGTATAAATATTATAAATGTATAGATCTAAATTGTAAACAATCTACACTAACTATTTAATAGAAGACTGAGAATTTTATTTTTAATTATTTCATAGCTAAAAGAATGCATGTACAACTTTCAAAGACACTGTTTAACTTTTGGTTTTAAAGTAAATATGAAATTTGTAAATATTTACTCTGTTTATAAAATTGTTTAAAGGTATACATCAACAAGGATAACTGACTTGTGCATAAGTAAACCAAGTGACAGCTCCCTAGAATAATCCTGTTAATGTCAGAACAAATTCTCAAGATGCTGTCATGTAATGTCTTCTTTTTTTTATATCCATGTCAGTTTTATGTATTTTCCGATGGAACAAAGCAGCACCGACTCTCCAGGTTGGATATCCTTGTTAGTTATTTAACTATAAAACTAAGTATTGAGAGTTCAAATATCTTTTCAATTTTGAACAATGCTTGAGTTGTTCAGAACACTTAGATGTAACTGCCTACAGCGGGGAAAGGGGACAACCTTGAACCTCCAAGATAATTGAAATGGTCAATACCAGTAATGGACTCACAAAGGTTAAAATATTGCATCATGCAAAATGGAATTCTTTTAACTTAATACATATCTAAAAACTCACCAATTCACACTTTAGTAATTTAGTCAAGTTCTGATAAATTTAGTAGCTAAAATCCACTGAACAAAAATCATTTGTATTACTGTGGCAATATAATATACAAGTTATGTTTTGTAAGATCATTGCTCCTATTTATTAATGAAATTGATCAAAACAAGAGGTTTAAACTAGTTTTACGTAGGTAAACAGTGACTCATGGGGAGCTACTTGCGGAAAATATAGATTGACTTGACCAAATAATTTGGTAATCTACTTTATTTAATTGTTAATTGACAATATTACTAGCCTATGCCTAGTGTGCACTGGGCTTAGTAATTTGGGCAAGTAGCGAGTAATTTAGTAAGTTTCATATAACAAATGAAAATATTTTAGCTACTAAATTTGTGCTCTATTATTTACTAGCCTTGTGTGAATTAACTTTTAGAGATTGTTCCTAAAGTGCTGTGCTATGGAAGTCCATGGTGGTTTTTATTTCTTCTAGAAAAAGCATGACCTATAAGGTTTTCTTATAAATGCAGATTTTACTGTTTTGTATATAGTATGATATAGACCAAATAAATAATTGGCCTGAAGTATTTTAGAAAATATGACCAGCATGTTATATTTTCATAATTTTAAAATTTAATAGGATAGGAAATGTAATTTATTATCTGCCAGAATTTTTGTATTGATTTTGCTTGTTATGTCAAATTAATGAGGCTTATAAAAAGGAATTAGTTAAACGCACAAAGCTGTTTCTTTATTTGTACCATTTTTTTGTATTATGTAAAATTTTATGTGAAAATTTCTTGGCAAAACCAGTGAAAAAATTAATTGTAAATTATTTTTAAGAATAATTATTAATTGGCATTTTAGGTAAGTGAAAGAGTTAATATTTACTTTGTAATATTTAAATGTATTTAATACGCATTTTATGTTTGAGATTTCTTTCAAACATTTGTTGGTGTACATGACAAAATAAATCTCTGGTAGTTGTTACTCTATAAATATTTTAATAGTCTTCACTTTTAATTATGAAGATTTATTGTAACCTTATATCACAGCCATGTAAAATTATATGCTAAATTATTTATGATATAGTTATAAGCTTATAAGTTCCAGTATGATGTAAATCTAAATGATTGTGAATTGTAAATTGAGTGGAACAGGACACTGTCTTGTGGAGTTCTGATAAACGAAATAAAAAGATTCTTTACAATGAAGACTTTTATTCCATCAGTAGTTTAATTCACATTTAGTGTAAAGCGACAAGTAACGTTGAAGGAATACAGCATCTACAGCATTTGCCTGATATGTGTCTCTTTAAATTAATCAGGTTCATAAGAAACGTGGTACGACATGTCATTTTCAATGCACAGTGTGCGAAAAAAATGTTCTTGGTATGGAATATAACATACTGTTGCCTCTACACAAATATCTGTATCTGCTGATGCACATGTCCAGCGAGGGAGTCGGAAGGTGGTCGTACTACAGTGGATTATCAAGTAAGAGTCATCGCCTCACCACGTAGAAGTAAGCAGTAATTATTGGTAAAAATCTAAGGACAAAAACCTTAACCTCGTGAATATTGGAAAAACATTTTGCATGAAATGTCCTTATTCATTATAGACTATTCATATGTTATTTATTTTTAGCCTATATTTTTGTATAGTCTATATTTTTAGCATTGTCAAAATGTCATTGACATGAGATTCTGATTCTGACATCTTGTTTTGCAAAAAGCGAAAAATTTAGGATTTTTGAATGCTAAATTTGATAATTCTATTTAAATATTTAGATTTTGAATATACACATACATTTAATATGGTCGCTGTTCCTGCATCATGCATTGGTCATTTAAATATATTCATAATTATTTAGTGATCATTAAGTATTTGCCTTTCATTTGTTGTAACATGCAATTATTTTCTTATTTTTATCGTTAACTTTTGTATTGAGCGTAATAACTTTTTGTTTTTAATATAATTAGTAGTTAAATTAACTTTTAATTTTTTACGATGAGTATACAGGTATGCAGGGACTCATCAGACGCTGTGGTTTTGTATTTACCACAGCGTTTGTATCTTAAATCTTTCGCAAAGCTTAATATTTCTGTTCAGCTTCCCTCACAAAAGGTTTACGGCAAGTCGATATCAAATTTCGAATTGATGGAGAAAATACGCAAAATGATCCAACCTGACACATTTTCAATGTTAAAAGCGACAAAACATAGTTCAGAAGTGATAAGGTTTGACGCCGAGTTGGAGAGCTGTGAGAAATTGAGCCGAGTGCTGGCTCAGCTGGAGAATCGCGTTATCCAGTTAAATGATTTCCCAGAACAGTTGAAAGTGAAAGTGTCTGAAGCCAAGTCGGAATTTCCAAGTCGACATACTTGGGATTCTTTCTTCCGCGATGCTACTGACATGGATGAGATGAAGCCGGGCGAACGTCCTGACACAGTACACATCTCAAATATACCAATCAGTTGGTTTGTTCATGAAAATGACAGTTACGATGATGGAGTTCCATCTGAGAGTTTGTTTAAAAAAGTGTTTGAAAAGTTTGGTGCATTAAGACAAGTGGATGTTCCCGCTGCAGATCCATTTAGAATGCAGATGAAAGAAGTTATAAGAGGTATAACTATTTCTGCAATGGAGTCAAAAATGTACTTTGAAGGTTACTTGCAGTTTAGTGAGTATGTGGGCTTTGTACGTTGTATGGATGCATTGCGGGGAAAAAAGTTGTTACGTAAGAAGGATGATATATCTGAGTGGTGTTCCATACGAGTAGACTTTGACAGAAGTAAGCATATGACAGATGCTGCTGTTAAACGAAGAGCTATAGTCCGAGAGAGACTTATCGCTCGGCAAAGATCCAAGGAAGAAGAGGACAGAATAGAGAAAGAAAGGATAGCCAAAAAGGAAGCAAAAGAAAGGTAATTTTTGTTTTTATTTTATGTAGTATTCAAACTTCAAACTCTCATTTTATATCATACTAATATTAAAATTGCGAAAGATGGGATGGATGGACAGATTAGTTACTTCATATCTACAAAATAGCTTAATGGATATCAAAATAAATTTAGCATAGATGTAATATAGAGTCTGGAAGAACACACAGACTTACTGAGGTTTTTAATTCTCACAGACAACATCACAGGCAAATGTTATTTAGTGATAAATCTCAAATTCTTATAAGAATGGTTTACCTTTATGAGTTTGAATGTACTAAATTTTAAAATGATTTCATTTTTCCAGACAAAAACATGAAACAAGTGAAAAAGAGAAATTGGCAAAGATGAGGGAAAGGGAAGAGAGGAGAAAGAAAAAGAGACTTGCTAAATTAATGGTGCAGGACAAGGTGGATATCAACAAGAAGGTAGCAGAAGAACGGCAGAAACTGTTTTATGAACAGAAAAAGTTGCAAGCAATTCGACTTATTGAGGAACTATTCAAAAGAATTGAGGTGATTGAATTTATTGTCTACTAGCTGTTGCTCGCGACTTCGTCTTCGTGAAATTTATAAATTTCAGTTGACGAAAACAGTTTTCTAATGATGAAAGAATTTTTGTAATTGGCCCAGTAGTTTTTGAGTTTGTTAAATTTAACTTATTATTAATTAATTTATATATTTTAAATTTAATTTAAATTATTTATTAATTAATACAAAAATAAAAAAATACAAACCTTTCCTCTTTATATAAGTGTAGACTAGTTATGTTGATGCAGAATTGTAAAATATTAGGTCACTAGCTGTTCCCATTCTGCTTCATTTGCATGAAATTATAAAAACTTTATTTTATTGTTTACATTTATCAAAGTCTCAATAGCAAATGTCAAAATTACCATTACCATACTAACCTTGCTTCCTTAATGTTGGCAGCTTGTAGTTTATGGTCCCTTTCACATATGTAGGTTTTTCCCATTTATTTACCCCCTAAGTTTAATAAAGTGAAAATATATAGCCTATAGCGTGTCGGTAAGTGTAGGGTATTTTATTAAAGAAAGAATTATTTTAAAATAAGCTATGATTGCTAACAGCCTATTCCACGAGGTAGTGTGTGTTTACGCTTTATTATATTACTATAGAGTATAGCTAAAAAGCCTATGTTACTCAATTATATTATAGCTTTTTAATAAGACCAGTGTAAAATATTCCAGTTACGTCCGGAGTTGCAGCGCAGTGTGAATGAGAGGTACTACAGTAGCGAGGAGAGAATCACACGGTCCCGAGTCGTGGACAGATTCAAACGGGCCCAGGAACACCAGCTTGACAAACAGCGGGAGCTACTCAGGCAAGCGGTAGATGGTAAGCATTTTAGACTTTTTATATACAGTAGGTATCTCGATAACTTAAAACTCGGTAACTTAAAAACCTATATAACTTCAAAAAATAATATGTTCCCTTCCCATCAGAGCCCAAAACCTCTATAACAAAGACCCTTGATAACTTGAAACCTCTATAACTTCAAATATTTTGTGTTTCCCTTGGACTTTAACTTATCGAGGTTCTGTAATTTCTAATCTATACTTCTATACTAATATAATAAAGCGTAAACACACACTACTTTATGGCGTAGGATGTATGCAATCATAGCATATTTTTGAATAACTCTTTCTTTAATAACAGTCACTATACTCACAACAAGCTTTTGGCTATATATTTTACTTAAGAAGTCTCTAATTAGATTTTAATACTAAATCTTTATTAAGGATAGTCGTAATGATTGGTAGCTTAAAAGTAGACAACATATCTGTGGGCAGATGTTTATGGGTAGCGGTGGCCTCGCTATTTCGACGAGTTAATGTGGCCGCTTGAATATTTGCCATCTTAAGACAAAGAAAAACAAATAATCTTACTAAAGTTATAAATGCGAAAGTTTAGATGGATGTTTGTTAGAGTTTGTAATCAAAGCGGCTGAACGGATCTTGATGGAATTTGACATAGATGAAAGCATAGTCTAGAAGAACACATAGGCTACTCACTTTTATTTTTTTAATACCATGCGGACGGAGTCGCGGGCGAAAGCTAGTATCTTTATACTTCCTTTAAACTATGCCTTAATAAGGTTATTTTATGTACAAAATCCGGCTTGAAGGACTAATGCAGAAGTCATTGGTCCTTCAAGCCGGATTTTAAAGTTGTGAATATGTTTATATTTCTTTTTTCAGGACGAATAGTGATACGTTCAGCTTTGGAAACGAAGAAACCGAGAGAGGTCTCTCCTATCAGTTCACTGTCCTCAGAAGATGAAAGAACTAACAAGAGAATCAAGAAGGAGAAGCTACCGACGCCCGAGAGGGAGTATGAATATAAACCACCAGGTATCTTGAAACACAAATCTATATTAATATAATAAAGCGTAAATACTTATTTCTTATGTATGTTGTCAATCACAGTATTGTTTTGAATATCACTTTTTTAATAAATAACTCTACACTTACGACAATATATAGGCTATTTTAACGGTAATTATTTTGGCTAAAATCAGTAGAACCTTGATAACTCAAACCTCGGTAACTTAAAAACCTCTTTAACTTCAAAAAATAATGTTCCCTTACCATCAAGCCCAAAACCTCTATAATATAGACCCTTGATAACTTAAAACCTCTATAACTTAAAGTATTTTGTGTTTCCCTTGGACTCTAACTTATCGAGGTTCTACTGTAATTTGGAAAAAGAGATAGCAAAGAAGCATTATTGCCTCGGTAATGGTAATTGTTCCAATGGTAGAGGACTTTGTCATTTGAGTAATTTTGAAATTTACAATTGAAAGTTATACAAAAGTTAAGATTTATTTTTGTAAACATTTTTTCTGTTAAATTATATATGTTTTAAAGTGGTAGTGTGTAGTGCCCGGTGTAATACCACGATCACACAGAAGACAGACGTGAAATGGAAGCAATTCCGTGTTTCGTCTGATGAGTTTGGTGCCGGAGGCCTAATTTAAGTCCCTTTCTCTTTACCACCCTTTTCTTACAAGGATCGGATGGGAACGGGAAGTGGATTTGACGATGGAGGAGATGCATAGGAAGGGGAAATATCCTCTTTATGTGCGTCTCCTCCTCCGTCGGATAAGGGTAGGCACTGCAATTGCGGATGTCTACGGGCAGCGGTCGCTTCGCCATTTTGGCGGATTCAGGTGGCCACTTGCTCGTTTGCCTCCTTATATTTATATAAAAAAATGTTTGTTTTCAGTACCGGGAATGTTTCCGTATGGCTTCCCCTATCCGTACGCGTGCGCGCCGCCGCCGGGGTTTCCCTTCCCGCAAAGTAATTGTATCCGTTTATGAATTATACTAGCTCTTGCCCACGACTTCGACCATATGACATTTAAAAATAGTAAAATTCAACTCATGGTACTCGCTGATAGCTTTTTACAAGAGTATTTATAATCGGTTCAGTAGCGTTTGAATTATTTTAAAACGTACAAAAAATCAAAAATACAAATCTTTTCTCATTTAATTTTGGTATAAAAGTTTAGATGGATGTTGGTTAGAGTTTGTAGCCTAAACTGCTGAAAGAAACTCGATGAATAATATACATGTAGAGAATCTAGAAGAATACTGATTATAAAGGGGAAACATTTGTACTCTTGTATGTATTGAAAATCAAACACTAC